GTGAGCAAGCACCGATGCGGCTAGCATCGGTGGGGATGTGATCAGTGATTGTTGCTTGTTATGATGAAGATGAAGGTGGTGGTATCTGCGTTCATGGTGACCGAAGATACATTGAATTGGTGAGCTGAAAGTGTGTCCACTCCATCTGCTGGACAGATGCCTGCTGCCAATTTGGGGTATGGGTGAAACGTGCATTGTTCGGTTGCTTAAGCCAAGTCTTCCGTCGTTTTCAGTTTCGTTCCACTTCCATGCTGTACAATCCAATCAAAATATTGAAAGTTATTTTATTGTTGGCGTTTCACACTCTATGAACCATGTTTCTACTCTCGAGAACAGGTTCACGATATTAAGCACAACTGATGAACTTTAATCACCTTTACCAGATCAAGATCATGATTTTCAGAACATAGTTCACGTTTCTATGACTTTTGTTGCCTTTGCTGGTGCCCGGTGCAACGAAGCGTTACGTTTGTTTTGCGGAACAATGGTCACGATTTCATGATTTTTATTAATTATTTCGTAAACGAAAAATTTCCTTGTTGTTGTGTGATTTTTCCGTGTTGGGCAGCATTTCTCAATATTATTAAATGCACAACTTTTGCCAAGAACTCTCTCCCTATGACGCTCTATTTCAGAGATATAATCGATTGCATTCCAGGCGGCTCATTTTTTGTTGTTTATCAAATGCTAAATTCAGTCCTCTATATGTATCCGTAATACGCGCCTTAGGCTCAAACCTTTTGGAGACTACTAACAATTTGTCTTGTGAACTACTAATATTAAATAAAATATCAAAAATCCATCATCACCATCGTGGCAACTAAAATAGTTCAAAAGACAGGTTTAACGTGTGAAATGTAATGTCTCTTAAATTCTGTAAGTGTAATTGCACGTTTAATGTATCTAGGCTTGGAATTGAAATACAATTAATTTGGTTTCGCTTGTTTCTAGTATTATATCTATAAAAGTCACTTTCTCGCTTAATTCGATCACACAAATATCGTTAACTACTTTAAAAATGAACACCATAGTAAAATATACAATTTTTTGCTTCAATGCCAACCGATTTTAAAGCGTCTAGCATCCTTTGGCTCAGTCGGTAAACGCGCAGCTACAAAGCAAGACCATGTTGGAGGTGGCTGGGTTTGATTCCTAATCCGGTCTAGGGTTTTTTTTTCGGGTTGAAAAATTTCTTGACTTTTCTGGCCATAGAGTATGATTGTACTTGCCCACAATTATACTAATGCAAAAATGGTACAGGCATTGAAAGCTCTCTAGTAATAACTGAGGAAGTGCATCTAGAACACTAAGTTGAGAGCACGCAATAAACTAATATGCGATAAGCAATAAGCTTGAAATATGAAAAGGAAGAAGAAGTAGAAGCATCAAAGTTGAAGAAATGAATTTATTACATCTCAAGGTCAAACGCATTATTTTATTCTGCAAGCGCAATTGAAATCGTTTTTGAATCGACATAGAATTCCATGCTTGCTTGATGACATTGTCAATGTGAGAGTTGAACTTAAGTTTGTCATCAATAATCACTCTAAGACATTGAATCTCCTGAACGCGATCAGCCTCATCATCAATTACAACAGAGACGTTCTCATTTACTCGATTCCGTGAAATTACCATGAATTCAGTTTTACTTATATTCTATCTCAATCGCTTATACTTCAACCATCTTCATTCATGTGTAAAGCGGCATCATAAACGTATGTCGCATGTCATTAATATACATAATAAATAAAAGGGGCCCTAATACACTTCCCTGGGGTACTCTAAGGTGATTCCCCACGGGAGTAGAAACAGAATCATTAAAAACAGTCCGTTGAGTGCTGACACACAAATAGCTTTCAACCCATTTATATGCAGTACTCGTAATTCAAAAGCGCTTGATTGATCGTAACAATAAGGGCCTAGAAATCGTTTCAAAAGCGTGTTTTAGATTTTAAAAAAACAGCATCTTTCCACTTCGCTAATACCAAATTCAACGCGGTTTCACAAGAATGACCTTCCCGATATCCCAATTGTTCTGGTAACAACAAACTATCACTATTTAAATACTCCAAGACATGGCCCTTCACAACAAGTTCTTAAATTTTCTCTAATGTGTGCACCATGTCGATGGGACGAAACTATTCGGCTTTATTCGTTCCAGCAGGGACTACCAAGAATTCCCTCCAAATCTTGTGGCACATGTCCAGTCTGCACAGATTCATTAATAAGGTCCATAACTTGAATAATTCAAGCATTAAAATTATCTACTCCACTCGATTTTCCTAATGAAAATCAAATAACTCTAAGTTCATCTAATGTAAGTGGGTGAAAACCTTCAAATCTACAACTACTATTAGCTGGCTGCTTTATTTCGTCAAGTTCATCGACCAATTCAATGTATTGATTAATCAAAGAAACACTGTCTACAAAATAATCATCAAACTTAGATGCAATTACTTGTTATGACTGTTCTAATGGGCCATTTAAAAGTTCTGGACCACGGTTTGCAATTACTAGGTAAAGATCTCAACATTTTCCATAACTCATTGCTGTTGATGCTGATCAATCTTCCTATTTATTACGCTCGTTTGTGTACCTATTCCAATGACGGCCACTATTTTAACTATAAAACTTTTTGTACCATTTGTCCCTTTTCCGTTTAAAACGCAAGAGATCCAAATTGTACCATCACTAAGGTCTCATGACCGGTTATTTTCAAATCACGATCTGACTGAACAAATAGGATCAAAATTGGAGTAAACATGATCAATTAAAGTTCTACTGTACCTGGAAAAACCCAAGTAACCAAAAGTTCTGATAAAAGGCTATTTGTGGCGTAAGCAACTTGGTTGGTGTTGGTCTATAGAATTCTAAGCAGCCTCGTTTTTAAGTCGTTATAAGAACTTGAAAGTTAACGGCACCGGTGGTGTAGTGGTAAGCGTGATTACCTCTCACCCCAGCAGGCCTGGGTTCAATCCCAGTCGGCGCCGCCGGGATGTTCTGAGGCATAACATCTCTGATCACGCCTTCCTTCGGATGGGAAGTAAAGCCGTTGGTCCCCGGTTCATGAGTTGATGGGTCGATAGGTAGGGTCCAGGAGTGGGAGCTGCCTTCCTGGCACGTCGGTAGCATTGGTACTCAGCACGGAAAACAAGATCGACGGAAAAAACAAACCAAAGGAAAAAAAAAAGAACTTGAAAGTTCCGGTATCATAATTGAAGAGCATTCTAAGCAGCTTCAGGCGGAACTTGAACGGAACTTGTAGAAAATATTAAAAAAAGGTTTTTGTCCTCTACACCAATTCTATATTTAGTTCGCACTTTTATGAAAGTTATTTCTAAAGGCAGGTATTAATGTGTATTGATTTATCAGCATTTGTAGTAGAGAATTGGACCTGTTTGAAGAATTAAAATCCAGTCCTTCTGCGTGAAAGTTCCAGCACGAACCGCTGCGTCATCTGAGATATAATAAAGTGAGCAGTTGTCCCGCCTACTGTTGGAGTTTTCATCTTCATGCCACGCACAACTGTAATGCCCAAAAACCAATTGCCATAAATAACTTCGTTGGTACGAAGGTTTAATTGAACTGAATTGTGTCTGGAATGCGTTGAACAAGCAGCAATATTATATCCCGGAATACTATACTGATCAAATCAAGACCAACAATTGAAATGGCCTTAACTCCATTTTGTAAACAAACCTTGTAAGGCCATTTTCTCGCGAACCAAAACCTTCATTCGTAAACCTAAACCACAAACGTGTAGAGGAGAATTTCCCCTACCTGTTCATTATGTTGGTTTGCCTTTGCGGACTTCGGTTCGCGAGAAAATGGCCTTACAAGGTTTGTTTACAAAATGGAGTTAAGGCCATTTCAATTGTTGGTCTTGAAATGCTTCTGCTAATAAAACTGAAAGTGGACGATTTTACGTCAACAATCTGACGGAATGCTACGTAGTTTGTTGACAACCCCGCAATATTAAAATATAATATTAGGATTGATACACATTCCTCCTGGCACTTGGTTGATATTTATTGAAACTCAAGCTGCTTTTCTTATGATCAAAAAGTCTTTTATAAATCAAACATTCAGAGCTAAATGCGGCATAGTTGACGCCCAAGTTCATTTTGCGTTCTTATTCATTTTTAAATAATTAACACATGTCAATACAGTTGACGTACACTCCGACGTTTGATTAAGTTCAACAAAGATTTCTGAACTGCTAAAAAATATGCAGGAGGGCTACAAAACTCTCTTCACTTCTACAAAGTTCATTGTAGTTTGCTGACCATCTACAAAGTTTGCTTAGCTGATACAAAGTTAGCTGAATATCTATTTGCTTCACTTATAGAAAGCTTCTAGAACTTCAACGCAGCTCCCTGAACTTCCATTAAGTTTTCTAAAGTTCTACGAAGTTTCCTGGAGATTTATCAAGTTCATTTAAGTTCTACAACGTTCCCTGAACTTTTATAAGTGTCCTAAACTTTTGCGAAGTTCTCTTAACGTGTATGAAATTCTTTTAACTTCTGAGGGCATCCCAAGCGCAAGCTCACTGATCTCTATTCTCTATAAGGTCATATGATACTTGAGTTTTCGCAACAATGCAGTAGCTCTTCATCTTCTAATGAAATCATAAAGAGAATATCTATCATTCCATTAAAATTGTTCGTAAAGGTCTTTTGAAATGGTTCTCTACAAAAGCTGCTAAATCCATCATAGTCCTAAACCCGTAATTGCACCCTTGACTAAGCCTGATTGAATTTTCAATCAATTTCCAATTCAATTGCATTTACGTATGGAAACGTTATACAATCGGATATTTACACATCGCTAGATCGAAACAATCTCATATCAGACAAATTACCTCTCGGCAAACGTAACTGTTTCTACCGTGTAATTCCTCCGATCATTATTGCGATAAGCTAATAATTACCACCATTTGGCATAACCGAACAATTACTCACCCCATCTCCCATTTCTGTTCTCTCCCCTCTTTCGAACAGGTTGCACGAAATAAAGCCATCCTACGCGAAATCGGTAAGCGAAGTCGTGACGAGTTCCCGCAGGAAGAGACCCCGCTTCATTTCGGCAGCCAGGATCATTTCTACTACGGAAAGCTTCCGTTCCTGCGGCGCTACAGCCATGCACCCGACCGCCAACTCGGAGGCATTCTGGAGTACGATATGGATCCCACGGAAAATCGTAAATCTGCTGGCACCAGCAGCTCTAATAGCATCAACAGTAGAGATAGGAATGACAGCGACAGCGCCACCAGTGAAGCGGGAAAACAAATTAACGACCGTAAGGAAATTAGCAGTAGTGGCAGGAGCAGCAGCAGCAGTGGCAGCAGCAGCGGGGGTGTTCTCACGTTGGCCGCAGAACAACGCCAGCTGGAACGGGAACAACAAGAGGCGCAACAGGAGGCAAACAAAATTCTCCATTCGGTGGCCATTGTCGGCCCACAGGAGATGCGATTTTCCGACGAAAGGGTAATGCTGCCCAATGGAGTGGGGGGAAATAACGACGAAGATGACGACGACGGTGGCAACGGTGACAACGGCGTAGACGAAGGGGATGAATACTTTCAAGGTAGTAATTTTCCCAGTGGTCGTGAACAAAACCAACATCAACAACAACAACAACAACAACAACAACAACAACCGCTTCAGCAGAAGGACGATAGACTAAAAAGTGATGACTACCGACTAAGGTATTTGTACAGAATTCAGGGCAAGTATTTCGGTTAGGATGGAACAATACAGACCCACTCAAACGACGCAATCACCATCCCAAAGCAGAACAAAATACAAACTATTTAAAATAAACAAACCAGAAAACGCAAACAGCCAAGATGTAAAAAGAAAAACGACCAAACCGACCGGGTGGTAATAGAGCGGGAGAGAGGAAAAGATACATTTAGTAAAACCTACTTAAGTCCCCTCTGCCGGCCTGTCAGCTCAGTGAATTAGAGAGACTATCTGCGGTGTTAAATAGCAAGTGTTTATTTAGCATTCCACTTTCCTCCTTAGGCACACTTTGAGAGGAATCTGCTTTGCTTAGGTCATTAAATCACTCATTTACATCCAGCATAAATTTGTGAAGTGTTTTCGATTGTCGGTTGAAGTTATCACTTTCAAGGTGGACATATTTCGGGAAAGTAGATCATAACACCAGACGAATTGGGGCTGGTCGCGTTTTATGCGCATAAGTTTATTGTGGGATTTTTTTTATTGGCTGCACAATCGTTTGGTCACGGTCCGCGGTCCGGACAGTTATCGTTACAAAAATTTGGTCAAATTTACGTCATGACTGTAAATTTCATTATTTTTTAAAGAGTGGAGAAAATTGATGGTTAAACCTGATGATTTTGGTGGGTGGAATCAAGTGAAACGCAATTATTGTCGGCTCTTATATGAAGTATCTGAAATAACGGCCGTTTAATCTTATTTAGTGACTGTGTAAAACTGTATTGTTATCTGATTTTCTCAAAAGGAAATATTACTTACAGTTGTCCTAAAAACTGAGTTTACTCAGAACTCGCTGATGTTTGGTCATTGAGTCTCAGACAATGTTAGGTCAATTTTTATAGGTTCTCGGTAAAACTTATTACTGAGCTGCTCAGTTATACCCAGATTACCGAGATTTGGCACTCAGAAGAAAGTATGTTTACGACCATAGGGAATAACTCAGAGAGAGCGTCACTTCAACTCAGAGGTATGGAAAAATATATAAAAACTCCAGATATTCAGCGCTGAGTTTTTGTAGTTTTTAGACATTTAGTAGAAATTTAGTGACTTTCTCTCTGAGTTATTCTTAATGGCCGTGTACGTAGTCTTTCCTTCCTTCGTTTCATGATCCCGCGGCCTTCGATGATACAAGGTGAAAGTGACCTGCACACTAATCCAAGCCTCCGCCGTTCGGTAAATTTAGAACTACAGAACTGTTCGGTTAATGTTTGAAAATCAGTGAAAATCCAATAATTAGTAAAATTTATTCCTAATTTTGCAGACTTTTTTTCAGTGTACCCCATTTATTTGTAAAAAAATAAATATTGTAATTTTTTTTTTTTGATTTCTCACATGTAACGGACACAGTCGGTAAAATTGACTTGTTCTGCTGTTCAAAAACTCGGTAAAACTCTACAGAATTCGGTGACCTGTATTAAGTGTATAGTGAGTAAATAAACATTAAAAAATGGTTTTCTCAGAGACATCACTTCAGATTGGAAAAAGCTCTCGCCGTTTTGTGCGAAATAAGAAAAGGAAAACATTGACGAGAGCTTTTTGCAATCTGAAGTGATGTCTCACAAAAAACCATTTTTGATATTTAAATTTACTCACTAGGTCACTTCGTAGATATTACTCATTTTGTTTTGACAAACTAGTTCGCTGGGTTACTCTGTGTCTTATGCTGTCAGACTTTGAGAGAAATGCCAGTTTTGCGTGATTGTTGCATTCCACTACGTTTCCCGCTCATTAAACCCTTGCAGCTTTGGCGACTATCTGGATACTAAAGCATTGCCCACTTAACATATGTACGGAAGAAATCACTTATATCTCGGAGATGGAATGACATACGAAAAAGGTTAACCAAATCAAAACAAAGATATTTTATTGCACTTTCATAGAAAAATATCATTTTATCTTCATTTCTTATGTAACTGCGCACTGTGATACCCGCCATCTGTAGTATCAACTTCTTTTGCAAGTTTGTTCCACAATCTTGTCATCTGTGTAGTGTCCAGAGCCGTTTTACCAGTCTTCTTAAGCTTCCGCTGCATAATTTTCCAATATTTTCTGTATTGGACGGAATTGGGGTCAATTGGGTGGATTTAGATTCTTGTCGATAAAATCCACCCCATTGTCACGGTACCAGGCCAAAACTTTTTTATTCAACTCATACGCCATTTTCATATACTTCGACAAAGAAGGTAAAATTTTAAGCTTATTGGTTTAGAGTCACCAAAACCACTTATTTCTTGTTCAATAGAATCGGCTCCCCAGGGTGAGCTGGACAGGACTGATCCACTCATCCAGATGAGCTGATTTGTCCATATCTAATTTGTACAGGCTTAACGATTAGGGTATACGGAAATTACTAAACTATTAATGACGTGGATCCGAACTTTTCAGTCCGAAAGAAATAAGCAAACAAACCTCATAGAAGCACCACAGGAGACTGACAGCACCGTATGAACTTTATCGTCACGTAGAAAGATTCATTCATTACTTATAAGAAATTCTTTTTCCATTTTTCTTCGCACCATGGCACATGAAGAATTCTCTGGCGTGGGCGCTGAAAAAGCATCAACGCACACGTGTTTCTAAAAATCATAAGCGCAAAAATGGGTAATGCCTTTATGAACTTTGATGGGGAAAACAAATTCAAAAAACTTTTGGTCCGTTCGCTAAGGTGAGGTGACTTTAGGCTGTCTGTCTGCCGGTGACATTACGTATATTGAAACGAAGAGTATGCTTTTCAATCACCTCCTACACACACGAAGGCTAAGACGGTTGCATCAGGTGCAGAATTGTGGCAGTAGGGCTGTATGAATGTAAAGGGAAAAGGAGAGTGGGACAGGAAGTCAACACGGGATGGCGTAACAAGCTTCAGAATGTAGGGGGCTATAGTCTTTTTTGATAGAAACATGTTACTTTACAACTCCCGTTTTCATATGCAAAGATACTCACATCACACACGACTAATGTCAGCTTACTAAAGTCTGTTCCATTTAGAATTTGATCGCACACAATGGGTCATCTCTCCAAGAGGAAATAACACACAAAAACTGGGATTGAGCCCAGGCCTGTTGGGGTGAGAGGTAATCGCGCTTACCACTATACCACCGGCGCCGCTAATTTACGCTTGATAATTGCCCAACATTTTTCGATGGGACAAAAATCTGGACAATTTGGTGGATTGATACTTTTTTCAATAAGATTTACATCATAATGCTCTTACTCAATGACGTTCTTGCTGTAATGGTAGCTGGCTAAGTCGGGCCAGAACTTTAAGGGATCTTCGTGTGACCGAATGCATGGAAAAATTCTCTTCTGGAGACATTCCTCCTTGTGAAGCTATCCATTCATAGTCACTCCAGTGATGAAAACCATTGTTTTCTTTCCACAACTGCAGATGCCTTGCCAAATCATCAACTTGCGAGTGAAGGTATCTTCAAAGACAAATTTGAACTTATCCGAAGCTTCCCCCTTACGTTTGGCAAGGTAAAATTTGTGACCCGGAGTTTTTCCAAAGTCGTTTAAGACAACTATGCTATGGGCACTGATTCAGATAAGGAGATTAGGCAAGTGGCATCATACAGATACGCAGGACTGAATGATGTTCTGCTTAGATGCAGGAAGCGGTCAATCAAGGTCTAAATGCAACAGCGGGCTCTGGAGTACTTGGGATCAGGGGTTAAAACTGTTGACGTTTTTTACTACACTCGCTTCGTTGTCGAGCGTGACGGTCTGTTGGTTTTCGTACTCTCATGTTCTACCGTCGTCTGTCATACACAACACAAAGGGTATAACAACATTCGAGTAAAAAGGAAATTATCAAATAACTGTCATATGACATGTGTGATTTCATTCTAATTCCTCAATTTGGTGTAAATTAAACCATTTTTAATCGGAAATGTTATTACTAGGACATCATTGCTTGCTATTTTCAGCATTCACACAACCACAACACCAGCAGCTTTTATTATGAGAAAAACTAAAACACATACACTCGTGACGGTCTTCGGAGACAGTGTCGTATGACAGAGCCTGTCATATGACATTTTAGTTTGGGGAGAGGCCCAAGGCTGAAAGTCTCCTTAATAAAGGGAAAAAAAATTAGTTTGGTTACTATAATTTGATAGCTTGTTTTGCAAGTGTCGGAAGCAAATGCAGTCGAATATCACAGAAGATGTTTCGACTACGGTGACCGCATACAATACTGCTTGGGATTAAAACTGCTTGCGATTTAAATTACGACGGCACAAAGTATAAGACAACTGCTGACTAGGCGAGAGATTTACTCGTGAATCGCTAATGTATATTTTGTTCGCAGTTGAAAGCAACTTCCGTCGCGTGATGACGCAGATACGGTTGAGATACATCTCAGCGTTCGAAATGATGATCAGGCTGAACTCACAGTTTTAGAAGACGTGGAAGCTACGGTGCAGCCAAGTCTATGGGAAAATGCTGTGTTTATTGGACATCGGATACTCTTGAACTTGAAGCTTTAGGTTTGGCGAAGAACTTTGGATTGGGATGATCCAAACCTACAACCTATAAGCTTCTCCTAAAAACTATTTATCCACAAATTGGCGAAAAATTCGGTCTTCTACGGCCAGAAAAGTGGTATCAGATTAATTGTCGATCAGGGAGATCTATCATACAACGATTGCGGAATGTTACCAGATATTATCATGAACTTGAACAGTTTCTATAGAAAGAATATTCTAGAATCGTAAATTGAATAGCTGACAGTTGAAAATCTTCTGGTTTATCCCTGATCAACCAGAATATTAAAAAGATCCAGTGGACCTCATCAATATCTTTGAACACAATTTGGAAGAAATATTATGAACAACCTTGTATCATATGAGAATATCTGAAGAATGTGATTTACATTGAACAGTTGGAGATCTTCAGAATAGTAAGTCCTCATCAACCTGAAGTCTTAAAAACAGTTCTAACGGAATGGTTTGATAAAAATATATATTCAGAATAATACCAACTTGGAGTCTTGAAAAAATATACAGTGGAACTTTTATAACCTGAAGATCTTTAGAATAATTTCTGAGTTATCTGGTATCATGATAGGATATCTGAGATATGTCAATTGAACATCTGCAAAATAATGCATTATAATGCCTATGGATTTTAGGAAACATACCAAAATCCCCTCAGCCATCAAGTGAGCTAGGTAAAAGAGTGTGCATTTGATTAGTATTGTCGCATTAATGACCTTTCGCTTAATTTCAGCTTCTGTTCAATTTTCACACTGCCGTACTCTAACGGAACTATCAATCTATCCTCTTCAGAGCTTTCTCTAGCTAATAAATTATCGCTCTAAAGTTTCATGTTTATTATAATATAGCATTTCCTCCCAACTCTGTAATCGTAAACTTCACGTATGAACTAACAAACTTTTTGATTGGTTTTGTAAAAAATATCCAGCGGACTTTATGGAGATCTCTGATCACCTGTATGCCGTTGGGATAATTTTTGAGTTTGCTCAGAAGTAAAATAGAACAGTCGAGCAGTTGAAAATC